AAGCGGGTCTATTATATGGGCGTTTTTTGTTAAGTTACAACTCTCGCTCTTCTGAAACTTTTATTGGATCGAGTTGTAACCTTAAACCCGATGGTGCTCTAATACTTTTGATGCACTGTGCTATGATTTTGCATGCTTATTCCTCGTTAATATTATTGCTCGCATGCTGAATCTCTTCAGGCATCATATTTCATCATGCATTTCAAATTCTTCATATTATATGTCAAATGCATGTATGAATTACAAGATATAGGGGGATATCTCCATGATTCAACTCTTCAGGTGTGCATTGCTTCAAAAGCAAATTCCTCACTATGCACATCTTCAGGGGGAGTTCTTCTATATCTTGCAATCAAATTCCTCAATGTCAGTACTTACTCTTCATATGTTTATCCCCGTTGAAAACTTAACCTATATTGTCATCAATCACCAAAAAGGGGGAGATTGTAAGTGCATCTAGTGCCCCTTAGTGATTTTGGTGTATTGAAGACTTATAGGTTAAGGGACTAATGTGTTTATGAGTGTACACAGGTCTATAAGTCCATGAGGAGTTTGATATTTACAGAGAAAGTCGACCCCTAAAAATGAATATCTTCGACTGAAGATTGTGGTATTCCTGAAGACTTTCATGAAGACTTTGAAAGTGAAGAAATTGGTGTGTCCGTGAAGACTTGATATTCATGCGAGGAATATGAAGCTTGAAGACTTTCGTTTTCATAGTTTTGTTTTTCTCTTTCTTGATTCATAAGGAACACCGTACTGTTAAAGGGGGTCGAGGAAATACTAAGGAAAAATTTCCATGTGATGCTCAACTCAAAATCCTACACCTACCAATCCCTTCGAGTTAAGCCATTGGAAATCTCATACAGTTCAGTCAATTTTTTCAGTGACAGAGACGAAGTTCTTCTGGTCGCTGAGGAATTTGTTCTGACTGAGGAGTTAGGAATTCGCCAGTGTGGATTGCCTACACAGTGAGGAACATGATAGCCCTGAGGAATTTGAGAGTCAAATTTCCGACCATTATTGTGCTACGCGCCAGCTGTCCCAAAATATCTTATCCACATAATGGTCATATCATTGAAGGGCATTTATGTGTTATCATGTCGGGCTTCTCCCTAGGATATAAATAGCCGCCCCCTACAACCACTAGCTGGTTGGCTACTCCGAGAGAAACTGACACTTGTCATTTGAGAGCAACCCATCCTCCGAGGACTTTGAGTGAAAATCATCGAGTGAGGAACATCCAAACCCAAACACCCACAAACCCAAAGTGATTGAGCATCACTGAAGAGATTGATCCTGCGTGGATCCGACGCTTGTTACCTTTGAAGATTGTGCTTCTTCCAGACGGTTAGGCGTCACGGTCTAGAGCATCCAAGAGGAATTGTTGATCGCCGAGTGACCAAAGTCTGTGAAGGTTTGGAATTCGCCTGAAGACTTGCCACGAGTGATTGGACGGGGTCTATGTGACCTTAGTTCAAGGAGAATACGGTGAGGACTTGGTGTCCTGAGCTGCGTGCTTAGTGACTGGGTGTCCGGGACTGTGTGTCCTCGAGTTTAAATACTCAGCCGCTCCAACCAGACGTACAACTGAGACAGCAGTTGGAACCGGTCTACCAAATTATTGTCTTCACCAACCCTACTGGTTCTATTTCCTCAACTCTTCCATTTCCTCATTACTGTGTTGAGTAGTTGTTCATATCTGTGTTTGAAGACTTTGACTGAAGACTTTCTCAATTTCCTCAGTTCAATTTCTTCAGTCTGTTTGTCTTCATCTTGTGCTATCCTGTGTTTACGCTTTCTGTACTCTGTGTTTGTCTTCATTTCATCATGATGACTGTGTATGTCTTATGTTATGCTTACTTCTGAGTACTTATTCCGCTGCAAGTAGTTCTTCGCTAAGGAATTTCCTCACCGGCAAATTCCTCAGTGAAGAATTCATAAAAATCGCCTATTCACCCCCCCCTCTAGTCGATATAACGCACTTTCACTACTTCATGAAAATCTACCTGAGTGAGGCTAGTACTTCGTGGACGGAAGCCATGGTGGAATAGACAAGGTTGCTTCTTCATGGAACCATCGTGGGTGGAGCCCTCCGTAGACTTGCCGTTAGGGCATATTTTCCCTTAGTGGTTTTGGTGATTGATGATAATACTTTTGGAACAATAAAAATATATAGATACGTTGGAGACATATCAGCGGCCGCGCGTGACATTGCAACATCCCCCCGGCAGGCTGCTCACCACGCAACAATGGTGCAGCACCACCAAATGACCCCACCGCAATAGCCTTCGATCAGGGCAGGGTGGTTGTTGCACTATAGCATTGGCAGCGCCAGCCACCAGAGTTGAACAAGATGCCCCTGCACACGCCCATAAGACAAGCCCGACCCCCTTGCAGCAACGGTGGTGTTGCGAAAAAGCATCACCGGAAGCAGCCTCCACCTGCAGCGCCAGTGGTGTTGGAACACAGCGTCGGCGCCATCTCGCCGGCTTCACACATCCCTTGGGCACTCTTGCAACGTACACCATGGCCACCCTTGGAGCGTCATTTGGATCCCAGCAGGGCCTTCCTGATTGCCTTGCAGCATGACATGTTGGGCAGAGGTCCACACGGTGGTGCCTCCTTGTCGGCTTACCAGCTTGCAGCTTAGTGGAAGGCAGACGGCATGCCGGCGAGATCTAAAGAATTGGTCAACGTGCGTGGGGAAGGAAGTGCTTCGCTACGGCTGCATGGTTGAGATAAGGCAGAGGAGGTTGAGTGGTGCCTGGGTCCACAGGGGGACGCGTGGCGGGCGGTTGAGACAGCTTATTCCTCCAGAAAATCAGTTGGGCAAAAGGAAGCCTTTTCCATTTCATGCTCGCTAGCTTGTTGCTCAAATAGCCCGGAGAATCCATACCTCAAGTTTGAATATAATTCAACGAATATGACTACAATTTGTTATTTATTGTTTTTTTAATTTGACTAAAATTTGGTATTAACATATGTGCCTTATGTAATGGATAAACCTCAATCTCTCAATACCAAGGGAAGAGGTACCTCATTTCTTTAATTCATGTTGGTATGGGGGCGAAAGGCGTAAGAACATCTAGAATCATGGTTGCCTAATTTGGGACCCTACACGTCCACGGACACGCTATGGGAAATGACCAGGTAGACCTCATTTTGTCCCACTCCACAACCATCCCCGTTTATCCGCACCCAAATCCATACAAAACCATGCAAACTACATAGATCATCATAGAACATATAAACATAAGAATCCGACATAAATAGAACATATAAACATATCAATTCGACATAGATAAGGGATTAAAAGCTCAACACAATCCGATCCAAAAGGGCCTAAAGGAGTTCACCACTTAACTAAATGATATATTATGATTAAAACTGGATGAGTGAGCGACCAAAGTTCACCACTTTCTCGTTGGCTCCTTTCCCTTGGGCTCTCAGGAGCGGTAGTTGTCCTCAGGGCATGCGTTTGTAGCGGGCGAAACATCGGTATCCGTCGTGCCGCTATCCAAGTAGGAGGATGGGCCGATGATCCCCGACCATGTGATGGGCGGCACGGGCCTGCTCCCTCGCGAGCCGTGCGATCCTCTCCTCCGCCGACCTTTGCATCGCCAACCTCTCGAACTCCCCGAGCCCGACCCGGAACGCTGCCACATTTTTGCAATGACATCGGCGAGCGTCCGTCTATGTGACGTGTATGAACAGCGGATGGTGTCGCGGAGGGCCTCGTCATCGTTGTTGGTGGGCGGAAGCGCCTATGGAGAGGATCTCCAAGACCCACACTTGGATCTGCTGGCGGCCGCTCTGCCACCCTCTTCCTTGTGCACTAATACACGCGCCCCTCAAACTCTAACTACCTTGCAGACACGGGCACCCAACGGCGCTCGGGAGGAGCAACTGCTCGCGGTGCCGAGTGCCATTGGTCGCCCTGTTGCACCCAACAGCGCTCGGGAGGAGCAACCGCTCGCGGTGCCGGGTGCCATTGGTCGCCCTGTCGCACCGCCCGGGAAGGCATGGACCGCGTCGTGCATCTGCGGGGCGCCGCGGAGTTGCAGGTGCCCACCCGGGCCGCCGATGATGCCGTTGACGAGGAGCTCCCGCCCCGGACCATTCATGAGCGGCGGAGTACAACGCGAAGCGCTAGCTCCTCGTTGTTCGTCGTCGACGAGCTCGATGGTCTGCAATGAGCTTCTCTCAGCCGATGAAGCAAGGGATAGGCCGGGGAAAGGATGGCGAGGAGATGAAAGTGGAGCACAAAGGTTGAGAAAGTACGGTTGACTATGGTTTGGTGTGTGGTTCGGGATTTTGTGGGGACAGAGGTAAGGACAACACATGTCATAGTAGGCTGGGCCGACGTGACGACGGTGTCTGGGCGCGTCTGGATCTTCCCAACACATATAACTGGAAATGGGGATGCCGGACAACCTAGTTGTTTGTGCTTTGTCTGAGGAGGCCGGTGGATGGTCTTTTTTGTCCAAACAGTGACCCAGCATGCCGTTCGGCCGTTCGGGCGGTTGGATAGCATATATGATGCCTCCGGTTGTAGGTGCTCTGAACTCTGATGATATTTTTTTTCTGATGAAGGCCATCATGGCTTAGGTGCTCCACAATGCTGGTGGCGTGTAGGATTCAAAATTCGAGGTGCGAAATCCAAAACCATTCTCGCGGTGCGGTCGCGCGCTCCCCTTCCGTAATCAACCCGCGGTTTCGGCCTTTCCGTTCCCGCCCAGACCATTTTTGCCCTGAAAAAAACCCAGCGATCCGCTCCGAAACGCATCCCGCCGTCCACACCAAACATCGCCGAACGCATCTTACGGCTCCACCTCACCGATCCGGGGCAACCACCCCTGGACCAATCAGCGCCCGCCTCCCCCTCCGTATAAACCCAGCAGCCCCGCTCCTCCTCTCCTCCCATCTCGCCCCAAATCCCCCACCTTCTTCCAGCACACCCAACGCACCCGCAAATCCCCCACTCTCCCGAACCAGCGATGGCCCCCAAGGCGGAGAAGAAGCCGGCGGCGAAGAAGCCCGCGGAGGAGGAGCCCGCGGCGGAGAAGGCGGCCGAGAAGGCCCCGGCGGCGAAGAAGCCCAAGGCGGAGAAGCGGCTGCCGGCGGGCAAGACGGCGTCCAAGGAGGCCGGCGGCGAGGCGAAGACGAGGGGCCGGAAGAAGGGCAGCAAGGCGAAGAAGAGCGTGGAGACGTACAAGATCTACATCTTCAAGGTGCTGAAGCAGGTGCACCCCGACATCGGCATCTCCTCCAAGGCCATGTCCATCATGAACTCCTTCATCAACGACATCTTCGAGAAGCTCGCCGCCGAGGCCGCCAAGCTCGCCCGCTACAACAAGAAGCCCACCATCACCTCCCGGGAGATCCAGACCTCCGTCCGCCTCGTCCTCCCCGGGGAGCTCGCCAAGCACGCCGTCTCCGAGGGCACCAAGGCCGTCACCAAGTTCACCTCCTCCTAGATTGCATCTGCATTGCTTGTATCTATCTATCTATCTATCTAGTAGCGACTGTAGCTGGTTCTGTTACTTCAGTGCTTGTCGACTCTGGTTATCTGGAACTACAAGTGGTATTAGTGCTGGAAGGGGAATCGATTGAATTTGTGCTTCTTTCGGCAGCTGATTTTTCAAAAGTAGTGGTTCATTTCATCAGCCTGATATTCTGCATTAGGTGAGTGTGATTATCGTTAAATAAGAGCATTCCAATGGTTGCCTTGCCATGTATGGTTCTTGTTTTGGTAGTAGTTTGCTTTGCTTATCCACAAGTATCAGCCAATTGGTTAGGCTGGAGCAGCTTCGTTCTGATCCTATTGACGGTGTTACTCTGAAAATTGTTAAGCGTGAGAAAATTAGACTAGCTGTCCAATTCTTTTTTTTTTTTTAGAAAAGGAGGAGGACCCTGGCCTCTGCATGGTGATGCACATTTGGTGTATCCATGGAAGCTATGGATGGTCTTCAGGCTGTATCTTCTTCAGATATTGCAGCAATTTAGAGATCGTGTAACTTCACAATTGCCTGGCGAGTGCTTATTTTTTTTTCCTTTCAAGTAATTTATTGATTTTGGTGGTCTAATATTTATACCCGTAGGCATATGGAGGCTATCCTGAAACCATCAAGAAGAAAGCCTGGCTCCTGTTCTCTGTCGTTTGCCGAACCTTCCAAAAAGATAACCAAAAGAAAAACATGGATCTTCTAGGTAGGCAAATCTGCAGGCAGCCACAGCATCATTGTTTGGAGCAGAGCGCTCCATCCTTGTCCGGTTGAACATGCCTTTTCTTCACCACAGGTACATAATTTTTCTGAAATCCCTACAGAAGTCCCTGTATAATTAAATATCACTGATGTAAGTTGTAACTCAGCACCTTAAACATTTAGGTTGAAAAGAACACACACGCTGATCAACTATAGTAGGGAAAGTACAGATATCAAGTGCCTCTGCTACTTCACACCTACTTATCAAGAACAAGAGCTCTCATTATAAAGGCCAAAAGATTCAGTTACTAAACTACAATAAAATATATGCTTCGTTTCTACAGATTTCAGGTATCAAATTAAGATTTATACCTGTTTAAACATCCAAACAACTCTTCTCCTGTGGCCTTTACGTCTCCTAGCAATATTTCAATGCTAGCCAACTTAGCTTGAGAATAAATAACTAATCAACATCGACATGAATAATCCAGTTATTTTTCCGGAGAATCCAAAAGTTGAGACAGTGCATCATAGAGACTATGATGCCTACTTTTCCACAAGGAACAAAAGAAAACCCAGCATCCGCTACACCAAAGTATTGCCAACATTCTAACTAATATTAGAAGATACCACTTACCCGATGCAATAAATTAAGTGTTGGATTTATGATAGCTGTGGCGACCTGAATCTGGGCACATGTGTTTTGTAACAGCGCAAATTTTCTTTGACAACTTCGCCAATTTTTATAGCTTGGCATTTTTTTGGCCAGAAACTTTCTTTCTTTTTGATAATTTGACTAACAGTACCTTTTATCTTCAGTTTGGATTGGCAGGAAAACCTGCCTCCTGTTTCCCGTCGTTTACCGAAGAACAGTGGTAACACTGATTTCATCTGTGGGAGCACTGGTTTCATTCTTGCAAAACTGCTGCGTATTTCTGTGCGTCGGAGATGTCGAGGCTGCACAGGCATGGTTTTCAAGCTACATTGCTGTCGTTTATCATACCATACCTTCCATGTACTAATACCCTGTATTGACATTCAGGTACTGAATGTGTGACCTTTCTCAACCAAGTGAACCAACCAGCAGTTCGGCACAGCCCGTAGAGCAGCAAACGTACCCTGTATTGACATCATCAAGGAAATTAAGAGCAAGTACACAATAAAGATTTGTATTCGGATAATAGCATGCCTCCTATCGACATTTGAACCTAGAGATAGCAGGACATCGAAGATTTGCATTTCTTTTTCCGTAGTTTTCTTCATCTAAGTGGAATCCATGATCTTCACTATATCAGAACATGAGTGTAAAATTAAGTACATGATCTTTCCCTGCCCTACAGATGACAATACAAGATCGCCACAAACAAGAAAAGTACATCAAGGAAAAAGCACAATAGACAATTTAACTGTACAAATCATCTTCTTCAGCTGCCATGGCCGAGGATGCAAAATGACCGGCCATAGCGGTAGCGCCCGCCACTGGCTGGTCAGGGAACCGGAAGTCACTACTGTTGAAAATCCGAGGGCTAGCTCAGCTCCGAGATGAACTGTAGGAACCCGTCGCGTGGTGGTTCTAGTACCCACACTCCTGAAGACCTTCACAGACTTGAGATATCACACTCTCACAATGGGGTAACTCAACTCTTTATTATTCACAACTATAATCTTGGGGCCCTCCACACCTTCCACCAGGGCGGAGCAGCACGGCCCCACCGCCTCCTTCCTTGGCCGGTGCCAGCCTTAGGCGGCCAGTGGCGGTGCCGGGGTATTCTGTGTAGTCAGTTGACCACACAGGATTAAGGCAAAAACAGTAGAAATCCTTCAAAAAATAATGTAGAATTAATCTAAATACAACTACTTGACATCATTATTTTGAATATACATCTCAACTTTGAACTCTTGGCTTCGCCACTGCAGGCGGCGATGAGGGACCAGGGCAAGGAAGGAGCCCGGCGGCGCTAGGCTTTCGCCCTCGAGTCACGCGGCGCAAGGGTATTATCCTGAATTAGCACAAGATGCATTGCTGAGGAATGATTGATGCTTGATTGATGTTGCGTGTGTAGAAATGATTGATGCTTTGATTGTTTCTAGTCCAAGGATTCGTTAGTTCTGCCTAATACTCCCTCCGTCCCATAATATAAGAACGCTTTTAACACTAGTGAGTGGGAGTAGTTGCCAAATTCCACATGCCTTTTTAGGCACAGTAATAGAGAATGAGCTCCGGCCATACTGAACATAGAACTAGAATGAGCTCGGTATACAGGTAGTTCATCATAATTAAACGAAGCAACTAGAGTTGACACTATTGCAGAACACGATCACTACAGTGCCTAAAGTTGCCAACTACACCATGTCTTTTTCAGTTACTGGAGAATGATCTCTGGCCATGGACCACACACAGACTCTCATGCAAAACAGAGTAGGAACTTGACACCATTTTCAGCACTCTATCACTACAAGAACCATGGAAGGCAACCAGGTAGGCTAATTCTTCAGATTAAACACACCCACGGTGCATAACTCCTTGCGTCGAAGATTTCAGTTGCGATGCTTGGCAGCTCGTGACTTGTGCTGGCGCGTCGCCGGGCCTGCAACTGATGCCGCACGAATGCATAACAAAAGACAGCCTGATTAGGATGAAGGAGTAGACAAGTGGTCCAGCAACATAGCAGAACGGAAGGAACGGATACATGGTGAAGAAATTGAGGCCGTATATCCAAATGCAAACTTATGGTCTTGGCAATGTGTGAATTTTGCCAGTAAGTGAAGCGTATTACATAAACGGCACTCCTTCCGTCCCATAATGTAAGACGTTTTTAACACTAGTGTAGTGTCAAAAAACATCTTACATTATGAGACGGAGGGAGTAGATGTGATGGCCTGTAATTTTAGTGGCTAATTAACCAAGGTAAGTACTTTGGCTAGTGTAGTAGGGTTTAAGTGGAAACAACATGCAAGCATCATAACTTTGTGGAAAATCAAAACTGAGAAACATTCATGCAACCTGAAAGTTGAGACTCGTGTCCAAGGAACAGTTGATCTAGGATGTCTAGTGGTCATGAGGTTGAAAGCTAAATAAATGCATACCTTAATTAAACAACCTAGCTCGTATAGGTATACACAAAGATTCACATTTCATACTGGAATAACTCTAGAATGAAACACTATAGGGGTAATCAAATTTGTTAATGAGAAATCAGGATTACAGGATGCAATGTCCAAGCAATAAATATGTTGCTAGCTGGTCATATATATTGTACAATAGCACTACTGAATTACTTCACCAATATATTCAATAATCATGTTAGCACAATCTTGAGATAAAACATACTGACAATCTAAAACAGTGCATCATGTGTAGAATTATAGATACTGCAAAACAACACTAACCCCTTATGATGAATTTAACTGGTGCAATAGGGTCATCGTTGGAGAGGTCTGCTCCTTTCCGAAAAGTCCAAGTTTCACCTCCTTCAGGACCATGAGTCCCCATGGTTAATAAACCAACTGTGCTGGCCCACTTTTTATTTTTAGGAGGCTGCATATTGTCTATGGTGTAGGCCATCTCATCTACTGACAGTGAAGTGAATTTTGGATTGACCATCTGAACCACTGCATACTTGAGCACCATTGCATGCTGCAAGATGTACTGGAGGAAGGCAAGCTCATCTTGCCTGGCACGATATTCACGAAAGGTGATCACCTTGAGCCGCAAGAGCACACTTACGATGAGACCAACCTCTTCCCAGAACTTGAGGTCGAACTTGCCAGCGAGTTGATCGCATTTTTCAGACTGCAAATTACATAATTTCGTCAACATTTCAGCAGGTAATGGATGGTGCACCATCAACATGAGGATGCCAGTGCTAGTACCGTAATATGCAGCGCCTCGACATTGGGGAAGCATTTGAGGAAGGCGGGCACCATCTTGATGACATCGTCGTAGACTCCGAAGCGCACCTTCATACTAAGGACATTCACGCTTGTGACCATCATGCTTGCACTTGTCTTAATCCCAGCCTGAAATGGATCAGATTCAGCAAAAAAGATGGCACATTGAACTGCACTTGTTCGCAAATTGAACAAAGTTGAATGATCATTCAGAGGCTGGATGTACAGTAATGGTAGTACCATGATGACAGTGTCTTGGATCTCTAGCACGTATTTTCCTGGCTCCAGGAACCCGAATACTTTCAGCTTGGGGACGTTGCCAATCTTTACTCTGATGCACGATCCGCCGGCAGGATTGAGACACTCTGACAGGATGAGACGCTCGAGACGCGGGGCGTTCACCACGTTGACGCTCTCTATGACGAAAGAGCAGATCTGCACGCAACGGAGGCTGTGGCTGAGGAGGCGGAGATGCACCCCCTTCATGCTCCCTTGGATGTTGAGGATCTCCAGGGCGGGGCTCCTGGAGACGACGGCGTCGATGTCCCCGTCCTTCATGGCGACGCTGCAGATGCCGAGCTCCCGGAGGTGGGGGAAGGAGGCGCCTTAGAGGCCAGCCGCGTCCGGGAACTTCCAGACTCCGATGTAGAGGCGGGTGAGGGTGGAGATGGTGAAGAGCGTCTTGGGGAGGGGCACCTCGCGGAGCCACGGTCGGTTGACGAGGACGAGCTCCTGGACGCCCCTGGCGGCGAGGAGACGGAGCCAGCGCTTGAGCTGGGCCTGGTACGCGCCCATGCGGCTGCAGGTGAGGTGGACGCAGCGGAAGGGCCCCTGGTGCGCGGCGAGGACGCGGGAGACTGCCGCGATGACGTCCGGCGTGCTGGCGCGCGCGGACGAGACCAGGTGGGTGTCCACGAGGACGAGCGGCGTCGATCGCCAGATCCCGCGCCAGCGCGCGGCGAGCGCGGCGGTGCGGGCGGCGTCCTTGACAGGGAGACGGGAGACGATGTCGCGGAGGAGCGCGTCGGAGAGGCGGCTGATGCGGTCCACGCCGTCGGAGGGGCGCGCGCGGAAGGCAGTGAGGCGGGCGGTGGTGGAGACGGGCGGGTCCGGGAGGTTGCCGTGGATGAGCGACATGAGCTGCTCCGTGCTCCGGTCCAGCTCGTGCGGGTCCAGGCCTTGGCGGCGCATGTCGGCCGCCGTCACCGGGTCGACGTTGGAGAACCGGCTGGCCATCGCCGGCGCCGGCGGGAGGTGGTCAGGGGAGCACGGGCGTGGCTAGGGTTTTGCGGGTAGTTGGAGTGGAATCTGGAATGAGTAAAGTGAGTGGCGAGAGATCGGCGGCGGGTGTTGGTTTTGTCGGGGTGGAGGCGTGTTTCGGCGTGGGCCAAATGTCGGAACCTGGTTGCTCGCGGGCCCATCAGTGGATCCCCAGAATAGTGGGAAGTTATAGAGTGCGGCTAATCTGCACCCGGGCTCATCTGCATCCACGCTTAGAAAAAAATTCAAAAAAATACTAGAAAAATTCAAAAAATTCCAAATTTTTTTGTGGTGGTAGATAATTTGACGCGTGAGGTGCGCCCCAAAATTCAACTCATTTGAGCATCTGAGCAGCTCTCGGCAAAAAAGACAAAATCAGGGTCTGTAAAAATGTGTACTGTTCACGCACTGTTTTGATCTGATTTGTCTTTTTTGCCAAGAGCTGCTCAAATGTCCAAATGAGTTGAATTTTGGGACGCACCTCACGCGTCAAATTATCTACCACCACAAAAAATGGAATTTTTTAAGTTTTTTTAGTATTTTTTTTGAATTTTTTGCTGAGAGGGAGCAGATGAGCCCGGGCACCGTTTTGAGTTTTCCGAAGTTATACTACTATTAAATGAGATTTCTCTTCGAGATACTATTAAATGGGAAGTTGATACTATTAAACGGTAATAGGCGCCGGCGCACCGGCCTAATTTTGGGCCGGTCAGACCGCAGCCGTACGGTTCGTTTGATTCTAACCATTCGATGCACTTTGTCTTTGTCAAAACACACCCGTACAAAAAGATTCCCTTCATCTCGTCGTTCTCTTCCGCCTGGCCGGCCGCACATGCTCTCGGGTCGCTGCCGTCGCCGGCCGTCCTCGTCGCCCTCGCTGGCCTTCAACCTCGCCGGCCGTCCTCGTCACCGATTGTAGCATCAAATGGCGTGACGGCGTCGCTCGCAGCCAATAGCGGTTGTAGCAAAAAGCTATGTCGATTCCAGCAAAACAAAACATGGTGGAAGCAAAAAACGGGTCATCTGTTCCGGCAAAAAACACAACACGGTGGAAGCAACTAAGATGAGACACCGGTTCCAGCAAAAACCCAACACGGTGGAAGCAAAATGAGATGCCGGTTCCAGCAAAATAAAGAAGGTGGTAGCAAAACTTGGTCTGGTTCCAGCAAAATCTGAAGACGGTAGTAGCAAAAATTGGGGATGATTGCAACAAAAATACAAACTGGTTCCAGCTGTGCTCATTGCAATTGCAGCACCGCCGTTGGTCGTGGTCACCACGCCGGGTCGTGGTCACCACCACCATGGGATGGCTCCTGCTAGTAGCAGCTTCGCCATGGATGGTTGCAGCTAGTCGTACAGAGGTTGCAACCATCCCATGGCGTCGTCGTGGCTCAGGTGCAAAACGGATGCAGCTCCGTGCACCACCGGGTTGCAGCCCATCGCGGCACACCCTCGTCGTCGTCGTAGCAAAAACGGTTGGCTGGCTGCAGCCTTTTGTGTTGCCGGTTGCACCTCGTCGCGGCAGCACTGTCGGCGCCGTAGCAAAACAGTTTGCCGGTTTCAGCTTTTTATTTTGCCGGTTCCAGCTGCTGGCGCAACCAATAGCAGTACCGGAGCTCGCCGGTTCCAGCGGACGATGGGTGGTTGCAGCAAAGAAGGCTGGCAAGGGGTGGACAGCGGCGGTGGTCCTAGGGGGCAGCGACAGCGTGGGCTTGCAGCGTCACTGGTGGGCCTGACCTTGCCTTGGGCGCTGATGGAAGAAGGGAAGCGAGAGGTAGAAGAAGAAATTGGGGACGAAGAGATAGACATGGTAAAGCCAGATGTGAAAGATGTGGACGAGAGAGGATAAGAGACGTGTGGATGTGGTTCTTCTGGAGAAAAGAAGAAGCAGTGCGCTTGGGGGCCCACAACTACATTGCGCGTGGCATGTGACCGGCTGACGTTTCGGCCGGCGCGCCGTCTCAGAACGTTTTCCTTTCTTTTTGCGGGTGGTTGGGGTGGAATCTGGATTGAGTGAAGTGAATTTACCGGAACCGGGATGTACCGGTGTAGCATCCGTAGTCCAATGCAACATCGAGATGCACATTGTCCTTTATCTAATAAACTAAGAATCTTTTGTGGGATGAAATACATCTCTATAAATAATCTGACACCACCTGACCAATATGTGAACATGCCCCACAACTTTTTCATGTAGTCATGCATGTGTATTCCCAGACCACTCAACAAATAGTACCAACGTTTTACTTTCTCGTTAGCTATTAAATGATTGATATCTTTTTAATGAATGTTTTATTTTTAAATCTTTTTATATATTTGAATTCCTAAAGACAAGATCTTTAAAACAAGACCAATATTCAATATATTGTAGCGTAGTTTGAATTTTACCATTTCATTCGCTTTGGCATTTCAAAAAAAAAAATGGATGTAACTCATTTCAAAAAACACGTTTCACTTTATTTAAAAAACTGGTTTCACAATTAAGAAAACAAATTTGAGTCATCCAAAAATAAACATTTAACTCATTTTAGAAACTAATTTTATTCATTTTAAAACACAGATTTCATTCGTATCAAAACACATATTTAAGTCATTTCAAAGAATTGGTATCGCTCATTTCGAAAAGGTGATTTCACTCATTTCAAAAAACTAAATTCACTCATTTTGGAACATTGATCTTAGTTATTCCGAAACACATATTTCATTCATTTACAAAAACAATTTTACTCATTTCAGAAAACGTATTACGGTCGTGTAAAAAAACAAATTTAACTAAATTTAAACACCGATTTCACATATTTGAAAAACATATATTTCATTCGTTACAAAGAACTGGCTACACTAATTTCATAAAACTGATTTCACTCATTTCAAAAAACTCATTTCACTATGTTAAAAAAATGATTTCACTCATATGAAAAAACCGATGTCACTCGTTTCAGAAAAATAATTTCACTAAACTGTGAAAACAGATTTTACTCATTTTCACTATTTTAAATAACCAATTTGGCTAGTTTGAATTTAACCGTTTCACTCATTTCAGAAAACGGATTTCAGTGAGTTTCACATTCACCAGTTTCAGAAAACCTTCAGTCAATTTCACATTTCACTAGATACAGAAAACACATTACACGCATTTAAAAAAAGTTAGATTTCACTCATTTTAGAAATCACATTTCACTATATTTAACGTGTTTCACACTGAAATATGTATCATGTGTATGGAAAACAAAATTCACTCATCTAAAGAAAATAATTTCACACAGTTTAGAAAATATACTTCACTCAGTTGAGAAAACATATTTCAAATTTGATTTCAATCAATGAAAAACTAATTTCAATTATTTCAAAAAACCTATTTCTCTTGTTTCAGAAACCTAATTTCAGTCATTTGAAATGTTGAAATTTAAACATGTTTGAAATGCATCCAAATTTGGTCTTATTCTAAAGCTCTTGGCTTGAGGAATTCAAATATATAAAATATTTCAAAAATAGCAGTATGGTTTAAAAGATAGAAATGACTGAAAATCCTAAAGAGAAAATAAAAGGAAAGGATTTGTACCATGGCACCACATGCAACGTCACGATAGACTCTCCCTCTCTCACCTAACATGGGTCCCATCGATCTGACATTGATTTGATTTAAAACCAACATACAAGAAATTATTTGCATCAATACTTTGATATACACATGCATGTGGTCCCACACCTTTACACATGGCAGCAAGGCATTGGTGAGAGAATCACCGGTAGCTCCCAGCACCGGTAAAAAACCACTTTGCGGTGAAGTGAGTGGCGACCGGCGAGAGATCAGCCGCGGATGTTGGTTTTGTATTTGGTTCGGTCGGGGTGGAGGTGTGTTTCGGGGTGGGCCAAATGTCGGAACGTGGTTGCTCGCGGGCCCATCAGAGGATCCCTAGAATAGTGGGAAGTTATACTAGTACAATTTTTTTTGAGTGCGGAGGCAGCAAGTACATAATTACATAGGCACGACGCAACATGCAGAGAGGTAGGAACACCACGAGAAGACGTCCTCCTTGTCCCAGGTCTCAATAAGACGGTGTGACCAAAGATCCACATCAGAAATAAGGTACCTGAGAGTTATTACAGAGCATTGATCAACACTCCTGAACAACATATCATTACGCGATGCCCAGATCTTCCATAATTGTGACATGAGAACCAAAGACCATGTTTTGGGGAAGGTGATGGGGCAGTAGAGTATCCAATAACTCAGCAATGTCGTTGGTATGAGGCAGGAGACCAATGCGCTGCCAAATCCGGTTGGAAAGTGGGCAGGTGACGAAGAGGTGAATGGTATCTTCGGGTAGCATAGCACATCGAGGGCATACATCGGACGAGATGAGGTGCTTGTGGGCGAGGTTGACCCTAGTGTTGAGTCGGTCCTTGAAGAGCAGCCAAGCAAAAAATTTGATCTTGCGTGGAGCCTTGGAACCCCATATGAGAGTGGCAAGGGGATCGTCGTCAGGCCTAGCCATGAGGGTGCCGTACACGTGCTTGCTGGAGAAGTCATGGCCTCGATGTGGGAACCTTTGGCTTCCTCCGTCGAGGGTATGAAGTCCTGCAAAATAGCCAAAAGCGAAATGAGTTCTTGTTCTGCCGTAAGGGAGAGACGATTACGGAGGTTAGTGATGACCCACAAGTATAGGGGATCTATCGTAGTCCTTTCGATAAGTAAGAGTGTCGAACCCAACGAGGAGCAGAAGGAAATGATAAGCGGTTTTCAGCAAGGTATTCTCTGCAAGTACTGAAATAAGTGGTAACAGATAGTTTTGTGATAAGATAAATTGTAACGAGCAACAAGTAACAAACGTAAATAAAGTGCAGCAAGGTGGTCCAATCCTTTTTGTAGCAAAGGACAAGCCTGGACAAACTCTTATAATAGGAAAAGCGCTCCCGAGAACACATGGGAATATCGTCAAGCTAGTTTTCATCACGCTCATATGATTCACGTT